GCTTCCCATCAGCCATGGCAGATGACTGGAAGGAGAAGATCATCCAGGAGAAATTAGGAGGAAAGAGGGACTGGACAGACAGCGAAAGGGCGGAACTCTGTCGCCAATTGGACCAGGATTTAGACAAACACCTTGACACAGTCAGCCAGTCCAAATTTGAAGATGGGTGGACTGAAGAGAACTGGAGAGATGTAAGGGTTATTTTTGTGGAGGGTTTTAATTGGCAAAAGTTTATTAAACCAGTTTGTTCTGTGCATACATATTTAGAAGTTTCACAGCATTGTCATGTGTAAGATGGCAATTGAATTTTGTGTTTAAACATGTTGCTAAGACAGCAAGTAAGAATTATTTCAGATATTCTTTATTTACATACACATATACTCAGACATTTGTTGCAGCTTGTTATTTCTTATTATCAGTATAATACTAATTATTTCATTTTTTTTGCAGAAAATGGCAGAGCATCCTCTTTTTGCACCTTACGTTCAAGAAGATGGTTCAGCTGTGGCAGAGGCACCAATAAATCCACTGAGTGAGGGATTGGCACAACTCAAGTTTGACCCAGAGCACAATACCCCAACGGGTAGGTAGGGTTAAGAATAGGAGAGGAGAGAAATAATGAATGCAATGGATTAAGTTAGTACATTTTGCGACTGAGTGATGGTGAATAGGCACTTTTCTGTTGAAATTGAAATTTAAAAAATCTAATTGGGAATTCAACATTTCAGAAGTGGCAATGAGCTATAAGGAAGAAGGTATCTTGCAGTTCAAATACAAGAAGTATCGGCTGGCAGTCGCTAATTTCTCAGAAGGGCTGAAACAAGTGTGCCCAGACAGAGAATTAAATGCACAGCTTTTAAACAATCGAGCTGCAGCACAGTGGCACCTTGGTAACGTATTTTGCAGACGTTGAATTACATTTTTCACTGAAGTCACTCCTTTGAAACAGCATGTGGATTTTTAAATTTTACATATCAGTTAATCTAGAAATATTGGCATGACATTTTAGATTTCTTTTCAAACAGAGAATAATCGATCAGCTATCAGGGACTGTGAATTAGCTGTCAAATTAAAGCCAGACTACACGAAAGCCATTATGAGGGCAGTCGATTGTGCTGTTAGAATGAAATCCTGGGACGAAGTTATCACTTGGTGTGACCGAGGCCTCAGATTAGAACCAGGCAGCGATAAGCTCAAGAAAACTAGAATAACGGCTATGAAAGAAAAGGTATATTATTTCTTTCCTCCCACTCTGCCTCAGATGTGAGGTCTGATATTATGTTTTTGAACATTTCAAGCTCATATTTAACACATAGGGAGTTGCCTAACATCAGCCTGGAATTGTTATTTCACTGGTCAATCAGCAGTCTGAATTAGTTGATATTTGGTATCTTGTCCAGATACTGATATATCATTTGTTAGGTAGTATCTTTTATTTCCCTTCCCCTTTCTTGAGATTCTCTGATTTGTCGCTCTTCTTATATTAGTGTTATAAATGAGAGGTAGAAAGCAAGCTGGTGTAGCCTCATATTCATCCATCCTGAATAACACACGGCCATGGCAATTCCTTTACTTAATATTTGTTTTGTTTTTTGAAGGTTGTAAAGTTCTAGACACAAGAAATTTAATGTTTTCCACTCTGAAACATATTCATTCAAATGCTCACCAGTAGATTACTTTTAGATAAAAGGTCTTACCCATTTATAAATGGTACATGGAAATTGCACTGAGTAAGAAGGAAAAATCTGATGTATAGGACACAGAGAAAGCAAGTAATTGATTTATGGATTGATTGATTATTCAATTGGATGTAGAGATGATTATGATTAGGAAAACTTATTCTATGACAGCAGACTGTGTAAATTATTCATTCTGTAGCCAGTTGTATAATTTGATACCATAAGGGTAATAATATGTAAAACAAACTTAAGTTGTCAAAGATTAAAATAAGATCTGCTTGTGTGACAGAACAGTTGTCTCCTAGTAAACTAAATGGTTTTGCTTACTTTTTCATAATGTTCAGTACAGTATTGTAATGTTGCTTCTCATTGAAATCTGGTAAATTTACCTTTGTGTTTATAATTTATGCTGGTGTAAATTAATGATTTTATAGTTGAATATGATTATCTTTCTGTTATTCATATAATGACTGTTACCGTAATACCAGAAGCAACAAGTCTTGTTAGATACAAATACCTTTCTGTAGTAGTGATTATTTGATATAAAGAAGTAATCTCCCAATATTTAGAAGGAAAACATTCATAGTCTTTGTTATTTATTTACAAACTCAGGTATTACTCTAAAGAATTACACAACCAGGCCAGTGCCACAGGCAGCACTGAATGCATTTTTCAAATACTTTTTATCCTTTTTTTTTACTTCCTCATCCCCTTTTATAAACCTGTACCCCTTCATCCATCTTGTACAGTCACAGTCTTCTGTGCTTCACTTCAAACACCTGATATCCTTATCACTGCTTAAGATCCATATCCCAGTCCTTCTTCACATCCCTCTGGTTTCTGGAGTTTTGATATGCGGCCATAATCATGACTCCTTTTTCATAAGGAGTAAACTGTTAATCATGAGTCAGTAAAAGATGTAACAAGGCCTGAGAAGATATTGCATCATTTTGAGGGTGTCAGGGTTGTCATTCATATGTATTTTGCAACTGAGGGAAAGGAAGTCTGTCCATTCATGCCTGCACTCAAAGACCATCTATAAAACAGAAATGAGCCAAGGGAAATGTCTGTTATCACAGGTGAAAAAAAAAATCTTAGAAACCTCCCTGATAGAGTGCAAAACACACATGCCCATCTCAGTAAGGTGATGGGTTGTGCCATCACTTGTGCTAGAGAGTATTAGATGGCACTAGGTCCTATATGCTTTTCCATTCATGCTCCTTGTTTTTTTTTCTTTCTTTCTTTTCTTTTCTTTCTTTTCTTTTCTTTACCCACCTGGATGGATAAAAAAATGATCTTTTCTTTCTCATGAAATTCAGCTCCAATGTTCTAATACCCTACTTATCCCTGTCTCAATTCTTTCTTCCCTTTCTATGCTGTAACTTGTAGCAGTCACTTAATAGTTTCCACTGCATTGGTTAGTGCAGCCCAAAGGGTTTCCAGCAATTACTAATATATTTTTTTATTTACATTTACCACTTGTTATGGTTGCTAGGCAAAATGCAAGTATCAGAGGTGGTTTATAAGAGACAGGAAGTTGGTACTAAAGGGCTCACAGCAGTATTGAAATTATGATATAAGTTCCCATTTTATCAAAATATGTAACCTCTCTTGTTCCAGAAAATGAATAATCTGGCTTGATTGTACAACCATAATTGCCAAAGTTATCTGTGTGTATGTTAAGAAAATGTTTCCGTCACCTTGTGCAATTTCCTCTTGCACATTGGGCTTAAAACTCCCAGTAAAATGTTTTAAAAAAATAACCAAGAAATACACTTTTACTAAGTCAGACCTTTCGCAAACCAGAAAATTGCAGAACGTAATGAGCGCAAGAAGCTGCAGGAGGAGAAGAAGAAAGAGTTTGAGGAGAAAAATCTGATCAACATCATTGAGGGTCGTGGTGTTAAGCTTGGGAGTGCTGAGGTGAAGGGGTCTGCGTCGGTCACACTAGCAGACTTAGAACCCTGTCATCCAGCGGCGCAGGTGAGTTTTCAGTCTTTAGGTTTTGCTGTGGCCATGGAATGTGGTGGAGGAGCTTACTGCTGTGTCCTCACCTAGCTTCCTGGCTTTTCTTTTTCTTTTCTTTTCCTTTTTTCTTCTTGTCTTTGTATTTTATGGGAAAGATTATCAATGCACTATGCATTATTTTTATAATTTTTTTCTATGGGCATTGTAACTTTTCCTTGTGCACATTTGAAGATTATATTTCAGTTTCTTTCTCTGGCTGTGATGGAAGTCTTGGACTTGACCCTATGTTTGTAGTTTTCATAATTGCAAAAGAACTTTTTCTTTGTAATGTAAAGTGCAGAAAGAATGGCTCGTAAGTTCAATGTAAATGGAATTTGCTATTGGTAATTTGATGTAAATGATGGTAAATTCCCTTTGTTCAAAGATAATTGAACTAAGTGAAAATGTATATGTACATTTCTTGTATTAAATTGTTTGTCAGTGCCTGTTCTGAACTTTAAATGGTTTCTGTTGCAGGGATCTCGTGTACACATAAACGAAGATGGTGAACTGGTATGGCCAGTCATGCTTCTTTACCCAGAATACCATGAGACTGATCTCATTCAAGAATTTACAGAAAGTAATTGGTAAGTTTGGACATCAGGTAGGTTGTTGATTGGCCTAATCAGATATATGAAAATAAGAATGAAAATGAAAAATAAGATTTCACTTCAATAATTTCTATCTAGTGTACATACAGGTGAATCTTTTTTCCCATATGAATAATGATTTATGCTTTGAAGAAGAGAAAGAATTATTAAAAGATGAAACTCCATATAAAATATTCAATCTTAGTATAAGTTTGGTCAATTTAAAGTTCAATTTGACAGAAAAAAGCATATCAACCAAAAAAGGGGTAACAATTTTAAAATATTGATAATTTTAAGACACATCCTCAATTATTCAGAGCTCTACAAAGTAAATCATATATCCCTTAGATTTATTAAAGAGAAAGTATGCTATATTTTATCAGCACAAGTATTTTCTGTTCTTAGATGGTTCATTGTTTTCAGCTTCGAAGACCACCTTAATGTAATGTTTGGCGAGGGCACACCAGCTGCACCATGGGATACAGAGAGAAAGTACCTTCCTCAAAATATGGTTTTATACTTTGAGGACCAAGAGAAAAGCAAACTGTATGAGGTGGACCCCAAGAAGACCCTTCAGCAAGTGCTTGCACATCCAAAGTATGTTTCAAAGAGGGTTTTTTTTTTTTCATTCTTTTTTTTTGTTATTAATACCATCTTTGTTGTTATTGCTGCTATTATTATTATTAGTGTTGTTGTCATTGTTATGTTGTTTTATTATTACTATTATTACTGTTATTGTTGTTGTGTAGAGAGAGAGAGAGTGAGTTTGTGTTTACTGATGCATGTATGTGTGGGGGAAAGGAAATTATGTATGATTTAACTTACAAATATTTGAAAATGTGTTAACCTAAACTTCATGTAATGTTAGTCTCGGCTTTTTTTCTCTTCCAGATATCGAGTTTTGGGTGGAACTCCGGGCTTCATTGTACTTACCCGAGGAAGCAAATTTGCCAAAGAATTTTTGTCAAAGTATGAATGTTAACATGATAAAAGGGAACTAAATGTGGAGTTTAAGGACAGGGACTATACATCTATAATAAATCTTATACCACAATTTTTTTTTTTTTTTCTTTGAAGGTTTAAGGCAATATTCCCTTTTTGCATATGTTACCCTTCCAAGGGAAAAATATCTCTAGAACTGAAACATAATAGAGTATCAGTATTGTCATCTAGATGCACAAAATTACAGCTGATTAGCCCGCTGGCCAACTTTGAAATTTTAATTGGCCTGATGAATATGATGTCATTTTCAAGCTAAACAATAATTGTGATGTCGTGTGAGTGTGACACCACTCACCCACCAAATAACTGTTACGTCAAAATTGGATAGATATGAAGTCACTAACCCGGGAAACAACTGTGATGTCATTATCTACTAGATTTTGATGGTACTACCAGTCATCAGTCAGCCAAATGCAAATATGTAATGCACTTTGAATCATGTCAAAAAAAAAAAAAAAAAAAAAAAAAAAGAAAGTTACCTGGAAGAGTATGTAGTGAATTTCCTTTTTTTTTTATAAAGAAAATATGGATTTTGAAGTAAATTACTCATTTGACATAGTTTTGCATATTTTACTAATTAATAACTAACTAGCAACCGGTGCCTCAATTACCTTTATCAGTTATAGCCGTGACTAACCATTAAGCAAAAGAAACATGTGCATACGGCCTCAAGTAGAACCATGTTGCAGCTCTTGATTAACAATAAAGCAATATAATAACATGCTGAAGGCACCAAAGTAACGGAGGTAGCACATAAAACTGGTACCAGGGATATAATCATCAAATTTCATGAAATTCCAGATGTATAGAAAAGGTCTTTAGGGATATTATGACAAATTAGAATTTGAAATACTCAGTCTTATTATACACCGTAAACCAACTTTTATGTTCAAACTATCTCAGAACATTATCTCCCCAATCTTTATTGTTGTTCTTTATTGTTGTGGGAGGGCTTCGGAGATGGAGACAGGCCCACGGTAGGGAGTCACCCCTACCATGGACCTTAGCCCTCGCCTCAACTAATTTTGCATGGTATTTTCTTCTCCCACCTTTTATTTTCCTTCACTTCTTCATCCCCTTCTGTCCACATCTTTAAGTTTAAGAGCCGTTCTGAAAGAATGAAAGGCTGACTTTGTGTCAGTCCTGCATGGCCTTCATACTCCATTTGTTCTTCCCTCTTTACCCTTTTCACTACCAGACTAACCTACAGCGCTCTACAAGCTTTAATATGTAACAAATTTTGTCGTAATTGTTAACTCATTTTAACCCTTTTCACCATAATACTTTATCATAGTGCTGTATGACCGTTGGTGTCTGGCACATTTAATTGTTTTGACCATTACCCATTCTGGGAATCGACAAACATCGCCTTATAAACCAAAACTTCCTTACCCAGGGGCTTCATCTGGAAGGATTACATAAATAATATAAATTATCCTATTTCAGATATACATGGAAGGACATTAGCTTATTTTTTCAGTTACAGAATGAATATGATTAAATAAAAATAATCCACAATACTTCAAACAGGTATAAATGTTAAATATATAATTCAATGCAAGTTTTTACTATATTACTCTAACCCTGAGGACTTTTTATAGGATAGCTTTTGAAGGCAAAAAAGTAGCATTCCCTTTAGTGATTTTAAGGTTACAGATTTTGATCTTTATATAAAGACTATTAGCCAGGAATGTTCGGGTGTAGTAATGTGGCAGATTGTAACATCCCAAGGTTGCCTCGCTTTAGTATCTATGACCCATAGTAGTGAAAACTTGCTACAAGGAGGATCTGCAAGACATCTAATGTATCTATATGGTATAGATATAGTGAGAGTATTACAATAATTCATAAATAGATCTAGGTCATTTGCACTGAGCATACTTACACACTTTGGGATATTTTTTGCATGTAAATTCATGGCCCCCATTTCATTCCCATATACGTTTGATATTATGAAACAGCATAAAAATAATAAAGAACATTTAAGAAAGGCAAGATAGAAGAAAGTTTCAAACTATTGAATATAAATACCTTTCACTGGCATAAACATTTCGATCTTACTACAGAAATATTTAGCATGATCAAAATCAACCTTAATCATAAGGGTTGGTGCGACATTATCATGAGATTTCAAAGCTATGAACAAAGGATACTGATAATCATATTGGCGTTTCAATTACCCTCTGTATAAAAGAGCCATGTTGCTGATTGGGTCATTTTATGTCAGTTCACTCAGTGAGGTAAATCCTACCCCCATCCAGATTTAATGAAAAATGGTACACATTAAATTTCTAGTAGGAAAAGTCCCAATTTTCTAAATTTTAGCTCAATCAGATGGACTGTTTTTGAGATATCACTATTTCTTGTTCATTTTTTTTGTGAAAAAGGGCTTGGCTGCCAAAGATCAGTCCTATAATTCTGTAACCACTGGTCTAATTTCCAATAGTAAAGTATACTTGTAAAGGAGAAATTACAGGCACAGGGACATTTATTCTATTTTTGAGTGATTTTATGCTCCATGATCTGTTGACCTATATATTGACCTTGAAATTGACAATTTGGGACGGTGGACCTTGCTATAATTTTCGACGAAAATTGTAGCCTAACATGTTCCCCAAAACATATAAAAAAATAGAGGTAATCATTTTTGTTTTGGAGTAATAGTAATTCAAAATTAGGATACACAACACTAAAATAGTCATTCCCTGTACTTTCTATTTACATTAAGCACATTTACATTACCAACTGGCAATATCTATCAGGTAAAAACACTGGTCTAATTTTGCACATATTAATGTAAAAACATTGCCTATTTTCCACAGAATCCTTTTTTTCTTTGAGGCTATCCTTTGTCAACAAGCCATTTAGAATACAAGATGAAAATTCTGTCAATGTCGTCACGGGAGATACTGTAATTCCTTATGGAAGAGGATGTCAAGGATGGGGCGCCTGTTACTGTTACTGTACATCAGATTCAGGAGTCCAGCATTGATCATCCTTTGATGGCCAGTGAAAAGTTCACGCAGGTCCATGTGGGTGCATGAATTTTATCCTGTAGTCACCCAATTTCTCTGAAACCTCTTTCACTTGGCCGATCCATGGTAGTTCATCCTAAACACAACGCATATTCTTATATTAAAATAAGTTTCATTGGTTTGGTCTTATATTTCAGCCAAATCAGGGGGATAATTTGTCCACCGAGTTTGAAAGCCTGGATGTGTGTCGATCACAAAGATATATATATATATATATATATATATATATATATATATATATATATATATATATATATATATATATATATATATATAATCAAATAATCCAATAATAATAAGTAAAGAGGTGAAGAAAAGAGGTGGGGGTGAGAAGATTAAAGTGTTGAAAATGAAGGAAGATTGATTAAAAGTAGGGGCGACACTTGCATGTCTTTCTTTGCCTTTGCTGATCAGTCTTGGGGGGTTTGGGAGGAAGCAGGGTCAGGTAGAATTAAATTAATTTAGTAATTTAACGTGTTTTGGGTTTTTAATCTTATATTTATTTTATCATTATTTTTTTTTTCATTTTTATGCTGAATACGAAACGAACAGAAACAAAATACTATAACTGCAGAACTGAAAAACTGTCATAAGGAACGAGAAGAATTTTTATTTGCTTTTTATTTTATTTTTTATTTGTTTTTTCTTTAAGGTTGAAACAAATGAACGAAAACTTTTTCTATTTTAATTATTTCTACTTTTGTATTGGGTTTTATTTATTATTATTATTAGTTGATTTTACTTTGTGTCAACAAGAACAGAAATAAACATTTGGTAACAAATGGATGACGAAGGGGAAGAGCACTAAAGGATAGGAGAGAGGAAAGGGGTGAAGATGAGTGAAGATGACATGATGTGATATAGAAACCGAATCAAGTTTGGTTTTTCATCTGTTGGGGAAGTGAAAGCATCGACAACTGGGTCTGATTGCAAGGTTGGAGGGGCCATAGGAGAGCATGAGTAAAATAACACATAATAATATATATATGTGTATATATATATATATATGTATATATATATAATATATATATATATATATATATATATATATATATATATATATATATATATATATATATATATATATATATATATATATATATATATATATATATATATATATATATATATATATATATATATATATATATATATATAATATAATAATATAATATATATAATATATATATATATATATATATATATATAATATATATATATATATATATATATATATTAATATATATATATATATATATATATATATATATATATATATATATATATATATATATATATATATATATATATATATATATATATATATATATATATATATATATATATATATATATATATATATTATATATATATATATATATATATATATATATATAATATATATATATATATATATATATATATATATATATATATATATATATATATATATATATATATATATATATATATATATATGTATCCCAGTCCGTACCATTCATCAAATAGAGAGGGCGTTTTTTTCACCTGCTGTAACCTAGTGTGACCTCTGTCTGCCTAATCGCCTAGACAATGAGGCCTTTCGATTTCTAGTGAACGAGTGCGTGGCCACGTTCAAAAAATAACTATAAGGATCCAAAGCAACACATTGAAAACGGGTAAAAACATTGCTGAATTCATATTAGATACACGTAGTTATAAGAGGAATCTGATCGGTCTCTGCGCTGACCGCACCCGGTGCAAATAGGTGAGGTGTTCGTGAACGACATTTCAGAACACCTCTGTATACGGTGACGTCCCAGGCTCGTTTCTCTTTGAAAGTGAAACTAGCCACAATGAGAAATTGAAAATAAGCGTGACGTTTCGAACTCTTCACGAGTTCCTCATCAGACAAAAACCGAAATGGATACAAGGAGAGAATGTTGACGTTTATATAGTGATAGAGAGACAGAATGAACAAGATCTGAATCAGGTCTCAGGGGTAAGGGCAAGGTCGAAGAGTCTGGGGAAGTCTTTGCTAA